CACGTTGGCCAAAACCCAGGTGCCATCAGGAGGCCCACCAGCGGGGCCAGAACTCCAGAAGCCCTCCTGCTGTTGCCCTCCCGAGCACCAAGAATACAGAGCATCACTGCCTCAGATATAGTTTTCCATCTACACATTGTGGTGAATAGCTCCATATGTTTCTCCAGCCCCCTCTTGAAGCTGTCTATGCTGGTAGCCACCACCACTTCCTGCAGCAGTGAATCCCACACGTTAATTACTCTTTGGTCTGAAGACGGCTGAGGCCCTCCTTCCCAGTTTTCTTCTCACAACACCACAGAGCTTCAAATATATACTCTCAAATCCTGCAGTATAAGGACCACCCTTTGGATACCAGTGTCAGCTACCCTTCTCTCCAGATGCCAGGCAACATCCATGGGTCACAAATCCTCGGGGAAAAATGGAGCCACCTCCCAGCAAACAGAAACTCCTCCATAATTTCTTCAGAGCATGTAACTTGTCTTCTCAATGCAGAATCCAGATCCCTCCCCCCTCCCCTTTTGCTTTTTGCACACAGGTTGTGCATCGCTGTTCCTTATTTTGCTGGAGACAGCATCTTACAGGCCTTCGCACCAGCTTCTACAGATTCATCTAAGCCTCCCACAGTGCAAAGCCAAGTCAAACATCACAGTTAAACAATGATTCCCCAGGAAAGAGAAAGATGATTCACATACAGCATCTGCAATGTCCAGCCCTGAATTCGGACACTGGCTCATCTGCATCCCTTCAGATGCTGCTGTCTTAAAGCAGTCTGGTGAGGCCCTGACCTGGATAGCCCAGGCTAGACCGATCTTGTCAGAACTCGAAAGCTAAGCAGGATCGGACCTGGCTAATATTTAGAAGGGCGACCTCCAAGGAATACCAGGGGCATGATGCAAAGGCAGGCAATGGCAAACCACCTCTGAAACATCTCTTGCCTTAAAAACAAATCTAGCTCACCACCTAGTGGTGCATAACGCTAAAAGAGCTAGATCTTAAGGCTGCCAGACAATCTTATGATCTCCTGGCTATACTACACACACACTGCCATATGACAATTATTAATTATTATTAGTTTGGCGAGATCTTGCACCTGAGCAAGACTTGGACCCCTCGGCTGTCTTTTCTACACACACCTCCTTCTGCTATTCCTCCAAGCTGGCATGCATGGTGTAGTGGTTGGAGTGTGAGACCAGAATCTGGGAAACACAAGTTCGAATCCTCACTGTGCCATTCACTGAGCAAACTTGGGTTGAGCTACTGACTCTCTCTCTGCCTAAACTACCCCACAGGACTGTTGTCATGAGGATGAAACGAAGGCAAGGAGAGCACTGTTGTAAGCCCCTCTGTGTTCCCTTTAGGGAGAAAACTGAAGTGTAAAATAAAACAAACAAGCCAGCCTTCTCTCCGCTACTATCCCTTCAATCCCTCCTCTTCCTGATCACCCCAAGATAGACACCTCTTCTTCCAGGCCCTTTTCACAGCTTTCTGACAGCTGCCCCTTCTGTCTCCCTAAACGATTTAAAAGTCCCAGGACGGAACAAAACCTGGACACTTAATCTCCACACTCCCAAAACCTGGACACTTAATCTCCACACTGCCCAAACCCTTCCAGAAGGGTCTCCAAACTGTTTTGGGGAGTCTCTAACCAGCATAGCCTTCCCTCGCTCTGCAGTTTGCAGAGATCCCTCTTTTCTCGCAGGCCGCCCAAGAGGGACAGCACCCACACACATGCGGCCCGCTTTCCTCGCCAGGCACGCCAGGATTCCCAGGCAGGGAGCTGGCTAGTGTCCATTCAGCGGCCGGTCCGCTATCAGGCCGCCTCCTTGCCTCCTCCACATTCCCGCCCGACCCTTTGCTGCTGCTGCTGCTGCTACGACGGCTGCCTCAAGCCAGGCTTAGCCCGGCTGACCCCTGGCGCGCCGGAAGAGCCCCTCCCCACGGCTCAAGCCCTTTGCCCTCAGCCAGCCGCCCTCCCGCCGGCCAGCCCTGACCGCAGGGCCTCGCCCTCCACCCTCGGCCACCTTCCCCCAGTCCTCCCCAGGGTCCGGCCGTTGCCCCGGCACACCTACGCCCGCTTTGCCCCCACAGTCCCCCAGCCCCTCCCCTCCCAGTCACCCCTCTGGTCCGCTCACAGTTTCGGATGTCGGAGATGAAGACGGCCAGGCCCCGCATCCCGTCTCCCTTGGAAACGGCCGGCATGGTGGCGGTAGCGGATCGGGACCTGGCGATGCTCCGTTCCGCTCCGCGCCCGAACCTAGTCCAGCAGCACCGAACCGACCCGGAGCGATTCAATTGGCCGGGTGCTCCGTCCGTCACCTGCCCCTCTCACGTCGTATTGAGTAGCTGCACCGCCTCTCAACACCAGCTAGATTTCTATTGGCGAAAGTCAAACCAGCCTCCTATAGGATTGGACGATGCGTCCGCATCCCGCCTGCACCCCGCCCCATAAGATCCGGTGGGCCCGTATGTCAAATAAGTCCCCCAGCCGCTCTGCATTTGCCATTGGGCGAAGGGCACGCTAAAACCCCGCCTGTGCCATCATCCCTCCCGCCTCCGTGGACAGTGCCTCTTTCTTAATGGTCGCCAGGAAATGTCTTTCAAGCCCCGCCTCGCCCTTTCCCCCGCCTTTCGTGGCGCTTCTTGTGAAATCACCGAGCTATTTTTTTAAAACCTCCGCCCCATTAACTGCTAGTCAATACTTTTTCTAGTCTTTTATTGGATGAAGCAGCCGTTGTCTGTCAAACCAAATTTCTGGTTCCATTGGCTGAATGAGCTATCACTGGAATGGCGGCTAAAGGAACGCAAAAGGGAGATGACCAGAGAGGCATTTCCGAAGAGGCGGAGCAAGTGTCATCATCGAACTTGGATGGATAAACGCTGGGATGCGGGGGCGGTGTCAGTCTTGGGTTCTAATCCTACCCCGAGGCAGGAGGTTTTTATTCGAACTAGTTTTCTAAGATACAGTCATTATGGTATAGCGGGTAGCCATGTTGGTCTGAAGCAGTCTGAGACCGTTGGCAGCTTTAAGACTAACAAAGTTTAATTCTAGGTATAAGTTTTCGTGTGCATGCATACTTCAGAATTAAACTTTGTTGGTTTTAAAGGTGCCGCTGGACTCAAACTTTGTTCTATGGTATAGTAGTTAGAGTCTCAGGCAAGGCTCTGAGAAACCCAGGTTCAAATACCCACTCTGCTATGGAAGTACATCGAGTGAGCAGTCACTATCTCTCAGCCTAACCCACCTCACAGGATTGATGTTGTGAGCAGAGGAAAAAATGGTATTGTAAGCTGCTTTGGGACACCGTTGGGGAGAAAAACAAGGTATAAATATTTTACATTTTTTAGAATGATCTCATTAAGGGAGAATCCCAACACCAGAGTGCCATCACATCTATTTAGCCCTCAGGTGTCTGCCTGCCTGCCTATCTATCTGTCTTAGGGTTGCCAGGTTTTACCTGGCTGCTGGCAGGGAGGGGGTCCCACTCTCCGGGAACTCTATGGTTACTCTATGGTAACCATAGAGTTTTTTCTTGAACAATACAGTGTGTCGCGTGTCCCCCTCCCGCAACTTGTCCTGCATGATGACATCACCTCTGCTTGATGTCATTGCGCCAGGCACATTGGCACAAACAGGGCACTTACCTACACTTAACCCCTGTACACATGGTGCTGGAGAAGACTCTTGAGAGTCCCTTGGACTGCAAGAAGATCAAATCAGTCAATCCTATAAGAAATCAACCCTGACTATTCCCTGGAAGGCCAGATAATGAAACTGAAGCTCAAATACTTTGGCCACCAAATGAGAAGGGAGCACTCACTGGAGAAGACCCTGATGCTGGGAAAGATTGAAGGTCAAAGAAGACGGGGACGGCAAAGGATGAGATGGTTGGACAGTGTCATCGACGCAACAAACATGAAATTGAGCCAACTTCAGAGGACAGCGGAAGACAGGAGGGCCTGGCGGGAGCTGGTCCATGGGGTCGCGAAAAGTCGGACTCAACTGTGCGACTGAACAACAACAAACCCCTGTATTATGTACTGTGTAAAGAGGCTGAAAATCTAAACTCTTTGCCTCCTAAATGATTAGGCTGTCAGAAAAGGACCCTGAAGCTTGATTTTTGCAATCATCCCGTTTCTGCCACCAGCAGGTTTGGGCTTAACTTTGGCCTTCTCTGCGGCGGCATCCTGATCATCAGTTCAACCTAATATAACACCAATGGTGCATCATCAAGACAACTTTCACTGTGGCTGCAGGGCAGGATGACATTACGTTTCATTCTTCTCAAGCTCTCCTTGACATTCTGCATAAGTTCACAGCCAGAGGACAAAATTCAATATCAGCAGCCAGGGAAAGGTACCTCTCCATCTCTAGTTTTATTCGGATGTCACACCTTTGAAAGGCAGAGAAGAGAGAATGACTCCCCCGCAAAAAAAAACCCCACAAAAAACGCAGCCAGAGAGTTATTTGGACAGCATGAAAAAGAGCAATAGACAGTTCCATCCAAACTCAATGCTATTCACCAACAACCAAGGAGAGAAGGCTAAGAACCTGGTTCCCTAGAATAAGTTAGAAGGAAAAAGAGGCTGGAATTAAAAGAGGCAGAACTAAGGAAGCAATTGTAATCAGGTCTACTCAGAAGTTAAGTCCCATGCTATTCAATGGGACACGCTTCCAGGAAAGTCTTTACGATTGCAGTGATAGCTCATTAAACCCAGTTGATGGATCCTCCTTTCCCTTTCAGCCCTATGGCCTCAGCCAATATTGCTCCTTCCTATGAAGACTGGTGCTGACATCATGGAATGCTGGCAGTAGAAGCCAAAGGTGGAAGAGAGGGGTCATGTGATCATGGGCACCATGGCAACTGTTGTGAGATCACAGGGACCAGATGGGAAAGCCTAGCCGTCCTTGGAGCGTCAGTTGGCTTGGAGGTGGTAGATATCCCCTGTGGTGCAGGAGAAGAAGATCCACCCTTAAGCCAGAAATCGATACTCAACCCGCAATGGCCAACATTGTGGTGAAGACCATCTGGCAGTCCAAGGAGATCAACGAAGCTGGTGACACCCCGACGGGAGTGGAGAGTCGGGCTCAGAGCAGCAAGGAGCAGCTGGGGAAGTCTGGCAGCATCAAGGCCTTCCCTAAAAAGAAGAAAGCCGTCTCTTTCCATGGGTGGGAGCCCTGGGAAGACGAGGGGTGGAGGTGGAGTTCAACACGCCGCTTGGGACTTATTGGAAATGGATTATTGTTTTAGGAGGGTGTTGTAGAAAGGATCTGGGCTCAGGGTGGGCATGACAACTCAAAGATAGCTTGACCACAGTGCTGGGACTCGTAATTCCCCTGATGGATAGACACAGGGCTATTTTGGGGCAAGAACGCACAGGATCGGAGTTCCGGCTGGCTCCTGAGTTGGCCACGCCCAGCAGGAACTCATTAGCATAATAGGCCACACCCAGCAACAGAAACTCATTAGGATTGGCTACATTAGGGGTGTGTGGCCTAACATGGACAGGAGTTTTTAAAAGCCCTGGGTTTTGACAACAAACAAGGTAAACAGAATAAGAAGGGAAAGGTGGGTGTGGCTGGATGACCACACTTCTGGTAACATGGGGGTGTGGCCTAATGGGCTAATGAGCGGTGCGGTCAGGGTGTGGCCTAATATCCTGGATAGACGTATCAGAATCACTTCTAGAATAACAGAAGGACCCGTCCCATCCCTGCTCTGATGCATAGTGCCCTAGAGTCTTACAGGGAGTTCTCACTTCCAGCAGCCCATTATTTTTATTATACATTTGTTACACATATCCCACCCGCCTTTCTTCCATCACGGAACTCAAGGTGGCTTACGCTGAGTCCCCAACAGCTTTCCTTCTATCCGGGCACTGACCATACCAGAACTATTTAACTTCAGCCAAGGTTACTGGATCATGTCCGCCCCAACCATACCCTTGGCCCAGAGGTGTCGAACTTATTTGTTACAAGGGCAGGATCTGACATAAATGTCACTCTGTCGGGCCGGGCCATGTATGCCATAAAACATAATGCCAGGTACCGGAGATATAAACTGTATAAAGAGCAGCAGCTGGTAAACTCCGAGTTGGTGTATTCTCACTGCAAGGCCCCAAGGGCCCAGAGGAAAACCCACATGGGAGGACTGGAGAGCCAGGGGTGCAGCACTGGGCAGACACTCCCACACTGCTTATCTGCTTTCCACTGTGCTGAAGTCACAATCTGGGTGACTCCATCCACTCCCCTCCCCAAGCAGTCTTCTGTTCCCTCCCTTGCACCAATTGCTTGCGGGCCACATAAGAGCCCTGGATGGGCCAGTTCTGGACTCTAATCTGGAGAACCAGGTTCAATTCCCTGCTTCCCCAGCTGAAGCTAGCTGGGCGACCTTAGGCAAATCACAGCACTCTCAGCCTATAAATAAGCATAGCTTGCCCCTAGTGGTGCCAAAAAAAGAGGTACAGTTTCAGCGGCCAAACAGGCTCTGACTGAGGGCTGCTGGGAGCAGGGGGTGGGGCTTGTTGCATGTGCCCACCCCCTGGGCTTTTTACTGCCGGAGCTCCGCTCCCGTGCACTCCTGCAGGAAATGACCCCTGCATACAATAATTATTTAATTAAGAGCCAGTTTGGTGTAGTGGTTAGGAGCACAGACTGTAATCTGGGAGAACCAGATTTGATTCCCCACTCCTCCACATACAGCTGCTGGTGTGACCTTGAGTCAGTTACAAGTTCTTTCAGAGCTGTTGTCTCATGGGCAGTTCTCAAAAGAGCTTTCTCAGCCCCACCTACCTCACAGGGTGTCTGTTGTGGACAGGGGGAGGGAAAGGAGATTGTAAGCCTCTCTGAGACTCCTTCGGGTAGTGAAGGGCAGGGTATAAATCCAATCTCTTTTCTCCTCTTCTTTCACGCATGAAAAAAAAATAAAAGCCTTTAATAAATCATGAAGTTGAGTAAGTGGGATATGGCTGTGTGCATTCAGAGCCACATATTAAATGTCTGCACCAGACCCAGAGAAATTATACTTGAGCCCTGATAACCAAGACAAAAGGTCTCTCTTATTTGACACAATGGGCTCTAATTCACAAAAGTTGCTGCCACAATAAGGATGGGGAGTTCTAGATTCAAATCCCCGCACTCATGTGACCTTGGACCAGGCACCATAGCTGGGTTTAACCTACCTCTTAGGGGATTTTTGAAGATAAAATGGAAGATGGGAGAACCACATGTGCAGCCATGCTCTCCTTGGAAGATGGGCGGGATAGGGCGGTAGCAGGCAGAGATAAGAGATCCTATTCTTGTTACTAATAAGATAAGAGATCCTATTGTTACTAATGGCCCATTTTCTCTTCTCAAGAGTTGAGTCTCACTTGACTAGCGAAAGCCCCAACCTCAATTTGAAGCGTTCCTCTGCCTGCACCAACGTTTCACTCCTGAACCTGACTGATGGGGAGCTTGAAGACTCCACCACCGAGAGCAAGCCCTCAGATGATGGGGGTTCCCCAGAGGGAGCAGCTGGGGAAAGAAAGGACCCCCTGCCCCCTGTCAAAGCAACATGGTCTGAGGATGACTATGACACCCCCATCCAACAGGTGAGTGGGAACTGCAAACATGTATACATGCTGACATTCTGGTCAGAGGAATGTTTGACCCTGAAATGTCATTCTAAGAACCACCAAAAGCTCTCCCTCCTCAAGCAGAAAATGCAAATGGGAGTCTGGACGCATCTTAAAAATGAACCAAATTTATTCCAGCATAAACTGGAATTTATTGCACCATCACAGGATCTTTTGAAGTGAATAAGAGCGTATGAAGTGAGCTCTCAGTGAGGGAATCTTACACTGGAATACGTCTTTCCAAGGTGCCACTGAACTCCAGTTTATTTCTGTTGCCAGAGTCTACCATGGTTACCCCTCTGGAACTATTATCAGTTAAGGACCTTAACCAGAGCCTGGCCTGGTGATATATTTTAAATCTGTATCACTAGCCACAAGATTCCCTCAGCCAGCACAGTTTAGAGATGTCCCCTTCTAAATATTTGGACCAGTGTAGTATAGTAGTCGTAGGATTAAGCAGACAGAAACTAGACTGATATCGCTGATTCCTTGGTGTCCTTAGGATTTTACTCCTGCCATGCATCTGGGATGTTAGCTCTGACACACAGAACACAGAGATTAGCCTCTTGTGGGTGGGGATGCAGACTACAGGATCACATTACACGGAGGCTGTACAGTTTCAGCTCCAGAATCAACACTAGCTTCCTGCGGCCTTTTAGGAAACATTCTAATGGTGTTATGTTAGTGGCTGGCATTTTGTAGCGGGCTTAAACGGCTAGGATGTATATCCAAAGGTTCCGTTTCCTTTTATTTGTGAATTTATTTCCAACCCTAAGCATTTGGAAGACGAGATTCATGGCTATTAAGGACTGGATTAGAATGGCCACTTTGGGAAGGCAGCAAAACATTGCGTTGTTGCATGCCGAGGGCTTTTTCTTTGGAAAAAGAGGTGCGGGAACTGTCAAGAGGGAAGTGAAGTTTTCAATCTGTATGCTGAAAACGCATGAACTTTTAATCATTTTTTTAAAAGTTTTTTGAAGAGGTTCTGGAACTCTGTTCTGGTGCATTCCCCCAGAAAAAAGCCCTGTGTATGTCTTGAATGTATGCAAATACATTTAAAAATACACTTAGCTTCTCTATCTCTATCTTTTTCCTGCATGTATTTCCATAGAGCTAAGAAAATAATAGAATGACATATCTCCTAAGTACCCAACTCACTTTCCCCTAAAAAGTTTCCCTCATTTAGAGGGATTTATTTGATCCCCGTTTAGGATTGTCAACCTCCAGGTGGGCCCTGGAGATCTCCTGCTTTTACACGTGGTCTCCAGACTACAGAGATCCTTTCCTTTGGAGAAACTGGCTGCTTGGGAAGATGGGCTCTATGGCATTGTACCCTGCTGAGGTCCCTCTGCTCCCTAAGCTCTGCCCTCCCAAGGTTTCACCCTCCAAATCTCCAGGAATTTGCCTAACCAGAGGTGGCAACCCTTTCCCCCTTCCCCAACACCACTATTTTAAAGTCCATGGGTTGAGAGACATGCCCAGAAGGTGTGGAGTGGAGAAGGCAGGAGCAATTGGACTACTCACCTGACCCACCCCCCTCTTGCCCTCTCCTCCAGCAGGAAGTGAGCAATAGTGGCCTCTTGCGAGCCAAGGACTCCATCACCAGCCTCAAGGAGAGGACGTCCAAGGTCAACCGCCATGTTCAGAACCTGCAGGTCTGGAGACTGTCACCATCCTACTAGCAGTTCCAACATTCAACACACGGCCAAGGGTCTAGACCAGGCCCCCTCCCCAACCTTTTTGAGCCTGCGGACACCTCGGAATTTTGAGAGGGGGTGGTGAGTGCCACCCCAAAATGGCCACCACAGAAGGTGGAGCCAAACACAATAGCGCCCTCCTTGTTTTGCAAAAGAATCATAGAAGGGAAATAAAGGGGAGGAAGGGAGAAAGAGAAAGGGAAATAAAAAGAAACAAAGGAAAGCGCGAGGAGAAAGATGGGGGTGGGAAGGAAAGCCTGGTGAGGGAATGGAACCGCCCGTAGCCAGGATTTTTCTTGTTCCGGGGGGCATTTAAAGTTTTAAAGGGCAGTTAAATTACAGTTAATTAAATTAATCTGAATGCCTGTCTTTAAAGGGGGAGGCTCTGAGCCTATTTCTAGCCCTTCCTTACAAGGGACAGGGCAGCAAGCTCATCAGTTCTTAACAAAGAAAACAGTCCAGAGAGCATTTAATTGCCTTCAGAAGACATTTAAATGCCTTTTGAGTTCCCTTCCACAGGGTAAGAAAGCTTAGAAGGGCACTCACGAGTGGCACCTTCAGTACGTCCCCTTTTCTGCTAGCCCAGTCCTGCTGTATACCACCTAGGTCATAGTGAGTCTTTCAGAAGCATTCCCATGAACCTTTGGGGGGAAATGGCTAAATGTGGGGCAGGGCTTTTAATTAAGGGGGCAGGGCCCCAAGATGCCCCACTGTAGCTACGTCTGGACCATACACTGGCTAAGGAAAACCGAGATGCTTACCAGTCCTGCTGGACCTCCTGTATGGCAGCTATGGAAACCCCTTTCATTTGAATGACAAGCCCAGCATTACAGTCGCCCCACCTACTTTCTAAAAGAGCACCAGGGAGAGTACTGATGGCTACCATGCACCCATGGGAACCACACTGGGGAACCCTGGTCTAGACTGCCCCCTGAGCTTAGCTTGTGTGGCCATGAGCTAGACCTGGCTCTTAAATACTGGGGGGAGGGAGAGTGTGGGCGATTCTCCATCTGGCATTTGCTCCACATTTTCTCAACACTGAGGACAAGGTGCAGCTCAAAACCACATTCAGATACCCCGGGGCAATGCCATACTAACTGCAAAGTCACCCCTGAGCAGCCATAAATCTATGCAGGAGGTACCATAAAACCCGATGATCAAAGGAAGCGAAAGCAGCATGTGATGCAGAGGGGAATTTCTGTTCCAAGGTGAGTTTGTTAAAAACGACGGAGGGAAAAGCCAATGCAGAATTGCCCTGTGTCAGTTTGTTTGCTTCTTGCCGAGTGCCATTTTTTTACCCACCCACCCCAATTAGAAGGATGTTTGAAAAACTTCTGAATTCAAATTCAGCAGATAACGTTTGTCAATTGGGGCAGCAATGCAACAAAGCAATATGTCCAGAGTACCAAGCATCTCGGGTTTCCTTCAGAGTTTCTTTTCTGTCTCAGAGGCCGATGTAGGCTCTGTTGGTACCCTAGTGATATTGTTTATGTTAAAATTGGATAGATGTCCATCATTCTTCATTCTCATCAGCATGTTCTGCCCTTGCAAGATAATCCTGAACAATTCAAAGCTCCCCCCCCGCTTTCCCTGACAACACTAGTTGGGTGTCTTGTAAATATAAAAATTACTGCCACAAGAAGGGACTTTATTAAAACCTGAAGGTTCTTATGTGCAGTCTAATTTGATCGTTCTGATTAGGGGTAGATGGTTGAATTGCACATATTTCAGAAATGTTTGCATGTGTTGACTGTACTTAGATTTGCTTGGCTTTCCACAGATGATTTTAATCTTCTTTTGTATGGATGTAGTGAGGAATTAACAAGCTTCCTTGGTCGAAAAGAGTCACTAGTAGAAATACAATGCTTTAGCTACACGTGACACGAGAGATTCATAATCAGGATCTCTAGCTTAAAAAAAAAGAAAAGAAATAAAAGCCGCTGCCAAGGACACAGGCTGATTCAGATAGGGGCTGTAGTACTATACTCAGTACTATACTTTGGATTTATACCCCCTCAAAGCTGTTATTTGATAGGAAGACAGGAAGCAAATATAGCTTCTAGAAAGCGAAGGACAGTTCCTTTATTTGGAAGAGCTCGAAAGAGTTTTAACCAGGGGTCATTTTGTAGAGAAAGAGGTGAAGGAGCTCATTAGCATAACTCATTAGCATAACTTATTTGCATATGCCACACCCCCTGATATCACCGGAAGTGTGTCAGAAGGCGACACCCACCGCTCAGGCTCCACTGGACTGTTTTGAATTGCTAACTATTGGGGGGGGGGGAACATGCAGATCTGTCCTTGCAGAGGAGGAGGAGCTTATACCGGAATAAAACTTGGTCTTAAAGGTGCCACTGGACTGTTTTGGACCAGGGAGCTGGGGGAAGGGGGGCTCTGCAACTTACCTGGCTGCTTCTTGCTCTGACTGAGGGCTGCAGGGGGCGGGACTTATTGCATGTGCCCGCCCCCTGGGCTCTTTACTGCCGGAGCTCCGCTCCTGTGCGCTCCCGCAGGAAATGACCCCTGGTTTTAACTATACAATACACTGTCCTCTAGTCCCCCTTGCCCCTCATTGGCTTCTGTCATGAGATGTTTTGTGGGAATTCTGTACTCAGTCAGAACTGAATTCCCAGGTGCACAGGGAAGTCCAGTGTTCCCCCTAAGCTGAGTTAGTGTGAGCTAGCTCACAGTTTTTTAGCCTCCAGCTCACACATTTCTGTCTTAGCTCAGGAAGGAGGGCTCCAGAGCAAACTAATTTATGTAGTAGCCAAATTGCTTGCTCACAGCTTTAATGCTGGTAGCTCACAAAGTAGAATAGTTGCTCACAAGACTCCACAGCTTACAGGGAGCATTGCAGGGGACAGTTTTTTATCAGGACTGTGGGGCAAACAGGCTTCAGCTTCCACCCAGTGCCATTTTCCTGACTCCAAAGAGCACCAGGGATCTGCTGCTTGTCCTAGTGGGGAAACTCGTGTGTAGCCAATGAGAACACACGTAACCCATTAGTACAAGTAAATATCCTCAATAGGGCAAATTGTAGCCCCCCTGAAGCACTTTTGGATCAGGAAAATGGTGTGGTAAGCCTAGGGTTGCCAGCTCCAGGTTAAGAAATACCTGGAGATTTGGAGGGTGGAGCCTGAGTGTTTGGGGAGGGACCTCATAGCGTCCACTCTCCGTCCAAAGCAACCATTTTCTCCAGGGGAACTGATTTCTGTCATCTGGAGATCAGTTGTATTACCAGATCTCCAGGCCCCACCTGGAGGCTGGCAACCCTACTCGAGCTGCCAATTCCAGCTTGGGAATTTCCTGGATATTTGGTGACGGTGCCTGGGAGGGCAGCGTTTGACGGGAAAGAACTTGAGGTGATGTCATGTCATTCTAGGCCTTCTTGGCTCTATGGTATGTCCACCGAAGCTGCCATTTTCTCCAGGGGAACTGATCTCTGTTGCAATACCAGAAGAGCTCCAGGCCCCACCTTGAAGTTGGTAACACTACATAAGCCCCCCCTCCCTGTGTACCACTGCAGTCCCAACCTGAATCAGGCCCTCACACACCTGGGAATTCGAACACTAATTCAGTTGACAGTTCACACAGTTAACACAAGGATACACATATAGTTAGATGTTTGACGGGGCAATATGGCTGCCTTGTGATGTTATCTTTCGTTTGAGAAAAGTTGCCCTCTCAGCCACTCCCCCTCTTGCTCTCCCTTTGCGCAGAGTGAGTACACGGCACTGTACGAAAACCTGGAGCGGCGCAGGCAGGAAGCCGAAGACCTGGAGGAGTACTGCACTCAGCTGAAGGTCAGTGAGATGGATATGTTGCCCACACCAAGAGAAGGTCAGGAGATGAGTCTATCTTGTAATGCCACTTGCAGAGTAATTTCGTTCTTGATTTCCTTGTCCTTTTGCGGATGCATTGTTCTTGGAAGCAGGAAGTCTTTTTTTTTAATACTTCCTTAGGATCCACAGGGTACTGTTACACGTTAGCACATCTGCCAGCTCTCCCATTTTTATTGATTACCCTTTCTTACAGAAAGCTCTGAGCAACTTCTGTAGAGTTCCCACCCATTCCACGGTGCTCCCGTGCATCCCATCCCGTGTATACGCTCTTGCCTTCACAATCCCAGATGTTTCCAGTTTGGAAATGAGGCCCATTCCGAGAGAGAGAGGCCAATTCAGGGGCGTAGCCAGAAAATTTTGGGTGGTGAGGCTCTGGGAAATCTGGGGGCCGGGGGAGGGGAGAGCAGGGGGAAGAGAGAGATGTATCCCATCAGTAGGCAGGCAAAGGAAAGAAGGGTCTTTCCTTAACTGCTGGTCGCACTGGTTTGCCTTGGCCGGTACAGGAGAAGGAGAGCCAGCCAGCCAGTGTGATTAATATTCAGCAAGTATATGCTCTGTGCCTCGCCCACCCGCTACTGTAGCAGAGAGTGTATACTCACCAAGTATTAATTATACTGGCTGGGGCAGCAGGAGTTGTGGGGCATGGGCTACGAGTGAGGGGGCACCGCCCCAAATGCCCCCCTGTGGCTATGGGCCTGGGCCAATTGTCCTCTTTTCCAGCATGAACCCTAAGCTCTCCCCAGTTTTTTGCTGTGGCCGGCTTCACCGTCACTCTCCCGTTTCCTAAACAGGCCCTTCCTGTTATGACACTTTCCCCCTCCTTAATGAGATCACATCCCAGTAGAGAAATATGCAGACATCCACAGTTTTCTTCAGATTTTGTGCTGCAGCTGCTCCTTGTTCTGAGGCCGAGAAAAGCCGTCATTCATTTTCAGAACTTCTGCTGGGAAGCAGATTGCCTTTTCAGCCTAGGAAACATGAAGCAATGAGAGCATCATTTGGCTCTTCCACATATTATTCTATTATTTTCAGTGGGAACTTACACATGAGACGACAGTTTAAGCATCACTAAACTACACACCCGTACTATACCAGCACCTTCATCCTTTCTTGTCCCCCACAGACCCATTTAGGCCTTCCACTTGGTACCCTCACTTTATATACTAGTGATAATTTCTATGTAAAGGGTAAGTAGGTGTGTAGTGTCCTGCAGCTCTCATCCAGGATGTCCTGAACAATTTTACACATCCACCCTCCACCCACTGCTTTTCTGATATCCCCAGCTAGGTCTCTTACAGTTAAGAATTCTTGCCACAGAAGGATCTGTGCTAAAACCCAAAGGTGCTTGTGCGGGATCTAATTTGATAATTTTGATTAAGGGTATGAGGTTGAATTTCAGATTCTGGGGAATTTTAAAAAATCTATTGGCTGTAATTAAATGTGCTCGTCTTTCCACAGATGATGTTAGTCTTGCTTTGAGGAGGAGCGTGAAAACTTAACAGACTCCCTGGGCTAACAGAGTCACTAGTAAAGTGTCAGTGGTTCAGCTAATGTGACACAAGAGGTCAGGGAGGGACCACAGCTCAGCAGCAGAGCATCTGCTTAGTATGCAGAAAGTCCCAGGTTCAATCCCTGGCATCTCCAGTTCAAAGGATCAGGTTATAGATGATGTGAAAGACCTCGGCCTGAGAGACCCTGGAGAGTTGCTGCCAGTCTCAGCAGACAATATTGACCTGATGGACCAACAGCATAAAGTATAAGGCACTTATGCATCCATATTATCAAGATCTTCTGCTTTTTTATTTTAAAAAGGGTAAAATCAGTTGGCCCTGACCAGGATGGCCCAGGCGAGTCCAATCTTGTCAGATCTCAGAAGCTAAGCAGGGTCAGCCCTGGTTAGTATTTGGATGGGAGACCTCCAAGGAAGTCCAGGGTCACTGTGCAGAGGAAGGCAGTGGCAAACTATCTCTGTTAGTTTCATGCCTTGAAAATGGCATGGCATTACCATACGTTGGCTGCGACTCGATGGCACTTTACACACACAAAATCAGTTGCCCGGGATAGAGTGGTTCAGATTGGAGCTGTAGTACATAGGAAGGGTGGTTAACCCTCCCACCCCCTTCAACCCTTTGCCATTTTTCCAATTTAAATCTTACCACACCCTCCAGCTGTGATTTGCAACAGGAAGTAGAAAATGTAGGTGGTAGAACAGGAGGGTCTGGGTGGCTTTCCATGGAAGGGCTCCAAACTGTGAAGGGTGTTTGGCTAGGGCAAGATGGCTGCCTCTTCCTGTTAGCTTTCCTTTGGAACCGGCTGCCCTCTCAGCCACTCCCCTTCTGTTCTCTCTATATGCAGAGTGAGTGCTCAGTGCTGTGCGAAAACCTGGACCAGCGCAGACAGGAGGCCAAATACCTGGAGGACTACTGCGCTCAGCTCAAGGTGAGCATCAAGGGTGCCTTAACTTGTCTGAGACAAGTTCAGGGGATGAGCTGCCCACAGTCTGCCCATGTAAAGTCAGCTTCTGTGGTGCTCCCATCCAGGCATGGATCTTGGGCTCTTTTTGTAGCAGGAACTCCTTTGCATATTAGGCGACACACCCCTAATGGAGCCAATCCTCCAAGAGCTTACAGAGCTCTTCTTACAGGAGCTACTGTAAGCTCTTGGAGGATTGGCTACATTGCGGGGGTGTCGCCTAATATGCAAAGGAGTTCCTGCTACAAAAAGAGCCCTGCGTGTTCAGTTTAGACATGAAATTCATTCATGGCAGATAATCACCTTCTTTTCTGCCATGAACCACGATCTCGTCCAGTTTTGCTTTTTGTATAGACTGGCTTCAGTGTTGTTGTCCCATTTCCTAAACAGTCCGCCATTTCACACAGGGCTTGCCCCTACCGGAAATGAGCCGGATCAGAAGCGGTTTGGCATTTCAGACTTGCACCGTTCTGTTTTCCCGCCGTTTTCCTCCCAGCCGGAGATCGCCCGCGCGGGCGAAAAAAGGCGGGGGGAAAGCGTATCGGAACCAGGAGAGGGCACTGGAGACCACTTGGAAGTGGATGACAGGTAAAACGCTTCAATCCCGGTTCCTAAACGGGACTGAAGCGTTTGTGTATGAAATGGCAAATACATTCCGGAAGGGAACCGGTTCTCAAACAGGTTCTGTCTGAAATGACAGACCGTTTCTCCATCAGTACACTTTTATCCTCCTCAGTCACTGCTTTCCAGCAATCAAGGGCAAACAGAATTGAAACAAGAGTTTCACACAGCATTGAATATTGTGCAATATTTTGAATAAAAATCCAGCAATTGTCTGTCCCTAGAGGTAATATCCTACAATATGTTCATTAGGAAGCAAGTCATCAGAAAAGGTTCAATTTCTCCCTGCAATTTCTCACACACGCCTTTTTCGAGCAATTAGTTACTAGGGTATTCAAGAATTAGTCATGAATCTCCAGTTCTTCTAGGGTATTGTTTGGGATTGTGGCAGTTTGAATATGGTTTTTCTCTTTGTAGCCGAAGCTCTTGCTCATTTTTATTTTATTTTTAATTATAGTAATAGTTAATTCTGAGGTAACCTTAAAATAATAAAATTAATAGTAGTGAGTAATGGACTTGACTGTAAAGAGAAACACAGTACTTTAGTACCTATATATACACACAAGAACTAATTAGTGATGACTAACAGCTGGCATTGAGAGAGCCCAGTTAAGCTGGAATCAGAAAGGAAGGAGCATGTTGCATAGGAAACAGTGCAAGCTTCTCTTTCCTTTTGTATACTTCACGTGTTGTGTGTCACAACACCTTGCCTCCTGTTTCATATTTACCAGCACATTTCTTCTTCCAGAAGAGGAATCATCAGCTGCAGCAGGCCAGCAGCTCCAGAAACATTTACAGTTACATTTACAAAAGCCTCAGATAAATGTATTTATTCATTTAGATATTTGTAACTTGATTTTCTCCCTAATGGGGGAGAGGCTTGCCAAAAAGAGGTGTACAGCATAGTTCTGTTTTCCTCCCTTTTGCTCTCACAACAAAGCAGGTTAGTCTGAGGGATAATGACTGGCCCAAGATCCCCCAGGATGCATCCATGGCAGAGTGGGGGATTCGAACCTGGGTCTCCTAGATCCTACTCTGGCACTCTTACCATTATGTCACTGAAATCTACTGGAAACTCTGAGCACTCTTACCATTATGTCACTGAAATCTAGTGGAAACTCTATCAACTGTGTATTTGGCAACAGCAGATGCCTACTACCCGCTCTAATGATTGCTGACTGCCAAAACAGCACATAAGCTCAAAGGCATCTCCTTTTGAATTTCGAATTAAGTAATAATTTAAAGGCAAGGGGATGGACTCATAATAAAACTGAATATTACAAGCAGAGGAAATTAGCATGAGGAACCTATTATGTCTGAATTCCGTGGCATGATGCCTTGAAGCTTATAAATAATGGGCTCATCACGCACATTTCCCCTTTGTAATACTCAATTTCATCACAAGCCCATCTCCCTTGTCTTTAAATTAAATTTCAAGCAGCTTAATCCCACATGAACCCGCCCATCAGTGACAGTCTTCCTTGGAGGCCTTGCTTTCTGTGCCTCTGCTCATAGGGAGAATGCCAGTAATGTGACTGGCCCAAGGTCATCCAGCAAACTTCATGGCATGATGGGGATTCAAACCTGGGAACCAGAGCCTTCTCAACCACACACACATACACCCACACACCCCACCCCAGGGACTAGAACTCACTTTCCATTTCTGTTTGGCAAACAGAATTTTCAGCCCTGAGTAAAAACACTGATATGTGTTCCACTAAGCCTGCTGTAATATTTCCACCCATCTTTTATCTCAGTGTTTTCGCAATTTATGCTCCTGCGGCTTGTTGCTTTTCGTTGACTGTGACCTGGGGCACATTGTCGTTTTAATGTTCTTCTATTAGTCACATTTTTATCCCACCCTCCCACAAAGTGACAGGCTTGTTTCTCCCCACATGATGATCCCGTGAGGCTCAGAGAGAGTAACCGGCCCAAGGCTACCAGGAAACTTGAACCTGGCTCTCCCAAGGTCTGGCCTAGGAGACTTGATTCTCCCCTCACAACAATCCTGTGAGGTTCAGAGACAGTAGCCAGCCCAGGTTTACCACGAAGCTTGAACCTGGCTCTTCCAAGGCTCCTAATCACCACACCATACTGACCGACTGTTATCTGTTCTTAACTGTGATTCATAAGCTGCCTCAGAACTATGTGTTCAGCTTCTGGGTCATAATTAAGCAATGCACTTGCTTTTGCTGCGCGTTGAGTAATATTAATTATATGTTAAAATATCCATCCTGTATTTATTCCAGTGCGGAGCGATAGGTGGGTTAGAGCGTTGGTGGCATGGCCAGATCTTTTCGATCTACAGACTTCAGCAGAAATACACCCCTCGCAGCTGAATGTTAGTGCGACGGTCCCTGTGTGTGAATCGGCACGGAGTGAAAACTGATGTGCCCGTTTAAAAAAATAAAAATCAGAAGAACATGGAAAACAAAGAGTTTTTCAAGAGACTTTTGTGGAGGTGAGATCTAGGAGATTCAATGAAAACGAATAACATCCTTCGCTTCGATTCATTCCCTTGTATTTCGCTGACAGGCCACTAACTCCCCCTCCCCCCCATTTTGGTCCTCACAGGAAAGGTGCCGAAAAGTCACGAAAACTGTAGAGGATGCTGAAGTTAAGACCAACTTGCTCAAGAAAAATTCAGTGCTGCTGGAGGTGAGAGAGGAGAGCATTCGGGTCTGGGATGGATGTGTGGGTGTGGAGCTGCTTTCTTACATGCCATTACTTTTTTGGTATATTTCTATCCCACATTTCCTCCAAGGAGCTCAGGAGAGTGCGCATTGATCTTCGTGACGTGGTCTCTGTGCTTCACACCCATGGGATCTAGTGCGCACGCGCTGGATCGATCGGTGCTGTAGCAAGCTCTTTTAACGGATTTTTGCGCCCAGTCCCTCGGGCGTGCGCGGGAACCCCACCGCGCATGCCCAGAGGGGTGGGCGTGGACATCGCACCAGTTCCTTTCTTACCGCTGCGTTGAGTAGACCTCTTCTTCATCGGTCTGATCGGTTCGCTGTTAGCTCACCTCTCAGCTCTTAGGAATTATTTCCAAACTTTCTCTTACTTTATTTTTTTGTTTGTTTCTTCTTCAAAAACAGTTTTAAAAAATACTTTTCCTTTCTGCTGAGTGGGAGTTTACCTCAGCCATTCGGGCTACCCCCCCAAAAAAAACTTCCTCCCTTTTGCTCTCACAACAAAGCAGGTTAGTCTGAGGGATAATGACTGGCCCAAGATCCCCCAGGATGCATCCATTGGCAGAGTGGGGGATTCGAACCTGGGTCTCCTAGATCCTACTCTGGCACTCTTACCATTATGTCACTGAAATCTACTGGAAACTCTGACTATCAACTGTGTATTTGGCAACAGCAGATGCCTACTACCCGCTCTAATGATTGCTGACTGCCAAAACAGCACATAAGCTCAAAGGCATCTCCTTTTGAATTTCGAATTAAGTAATAATTTAAAGGCAAGGGGGTGGACTCATAATAAAACTGAATATTACAAGCAGAGGAAATTAGCATGAGGAACCTATTATGTCTGAATTCTGTGGCATGATGCCTTGAAGCTTATAAATAATGGGCTCATCACGCACATTTCCCCTTTGTAATACTCAATTTCATCACAAGCCCATCTCCCTTGTCTTTAAATTAAATTTCAAGCTGCTTAATCCCACATGAACCCGCCCATCAGTGACAGTCTTCCTTGGAGGCCTTGCTTTCTGTGCCTCTGCTCATAGGGAGAATGCCAGTAATGTGACTGGCCCAAGGTCATCCAGCAAACTTCATGGCATGATGGGGATTCAAACCTGGGAACCAGAGCCTTCTCAACCACACACACATACACCCACACACCCCACCCCAGGGACTAGAACTCACTTTCCATTTCTGTTTGGCAAACAGAATTTTCAGCCCTGAGTAAAAACACTGATATGTGTTCCACTAAGCCTGCTGTAATATTTCCACCCATCTTTTATCTCAGTGTTTAATATTGCTTCTTATGCCGTTTTTTGGGTGTGTGATTTATATTGTGAATATTTTACTATCTCGCAATTTATGCCTGCGGCGGTTGGTAGGAACTGGCAGGATGTCCGCGCCTACCCCTCTGGGCATGCGTGGTGGGGTTCCTGCATATGCCTGAGGGACTGGGCGCGAAAATCCGTTAAAAGAGCTTGCTACAGCACCGATCGATCCAGCGCATGCACACTAGATCCCATGGGTGGGAATGCACAGATGACCACTCGAAGATCACCAGTTACTGGTAAGCAACCTGCTTTTCCCTCTCCTCACAACAGCCTCATGAGGTAGATTAGCCTGAGAGAGAATGATTGGCCCATGATTATCCAGCAGGCTTTCATGGCAGAGTGGGGTTCTGAACCTCGATCTCGCCATATCTGTGGTGTCACTTGTTGGGGTGTGGGGTGCAGGGTTCACGCGATGCAAAGACGACAGGACACAAGTCTGCAGGAAGCTGTCTGAATGAATCAATCCTCTCTCACTCACCAGCTGTATTTATTGAAACTCTGTTCCTCCGTCCCCTCCTTTCTTTCATACATTACATCATCCTATTCATGAGACATGAACTAAGGAATGTGTGTGTGCAGGCAAGTTCTCTGTTATCAGTTCCTCCCCCTCTCTCTCATGGCCACACCAACTGCGTCAGTGAGCAGTAAACAGATTCCATCTCGGGCTCTCATTACGTATAAATATTTCAGTTCCCAATTTCCAGGCAGGAGAATAGTGGATTCTTCTGCACTGGTTTCCTACACATATCTAGTCTGAAACCCTAACCACTGCACTACACTGGTGTCACCACCACGCTTCCTGAAATACACGACATCACTTCCAAGAGTGATGTGAATGCCCAGTAATTCTCCAAAATGGGCATTGTAACCAGAGTCTGCAGAACAAATTTAGAGTCTGGTGGCACCTTTAAGGCCAAGAAAGTTTTATTCAAGGTATGAGCTTTCTTGTGCGCGCACACTTTTTAAAATAGATATAATCAGCATTTCATAACAGGACTTGTGTTGCAGACTTCTCTACCTTGAACAGAAGCCTGAGAATGTTTTAAATCAAGTTGCATTGCAAAATTTTAAAAAAGTGTTTTTTGACATTTTCTGCTGGAAAATGAGATGATGTCCGTTGGGATCCCTGCAGCTAGGAGCAAACGGTCTTTTCTAGTCAGCCTCTTAATATGTCTCCAATCCCTGTCTCTCTGCTCGTACTGACTCACTTAATTTGTCGTGGGCTTTAGTTCCCAACAAAGGCCTTTTTCACTCAATTCCAGTTCTGCCGTTCTAAAATCAAATCGTGCAAACTGCATAGTGTGCCAATGGTACGCAGCTTTGCCCAAACAGTTTATTCCAGACACCTAAGGAGGATAATCTAAAAAGAGAGCTCACAGTATGTTCCTTAGTTACAGAGCAAAACCAACATTCCTTCTGGCTCTGCAAGCAAAACGACAGATGTGCATAAGCAAATCCGGTACTGCTCAGATGTTAATCTTGCTCTTCAATCCCTGTTTCAGGCATACTGGTAGACTTTTTTAAAAAGTCACATAAATCCATTCATTCATCACCTTATTAATTTAAGAATATTAAGTACAAATTGCTCCTGGGATTGGGGATGTGGCATTCTCTTGGTGACATCAGAGGTGCTACCCAATCAGTGGTGTACAAAGCCAGATTCTACTGCAACTTTACAGCATCACTTTATTCAAACTTTCACCCTGGAGAGAACCAGGTGTGTAGTGAAACCCCTTCTGTCCCTGCCTCACTGCTCTGTACAGGTTACGTTTGCTTTCTCCTGAAATTTAGATTTTGTGGTACAGTAAAAGTAAGTCAGGATTTGATAGGTGCCAATTCCATGTTGAGAAATTCCTGGAGATTTGGGGATGAAGCCTGGGGGTGGTAGGGATTGGGGAGGGAACATATCTCAGTGGGGAATAATGCCACAGTGCACCCTCCAAAGCAGCCATTTTCTCTCAGGGAACCGATCTCAATAGTCTGGAGATCAGTTGTAATTCCAGGAGATCTCCAGGCCCCACCTGAGGGTTGGCAACTGTGCAGTGTTTTCAGAGCCAATTTCATCACATGACCCTGCCTTATAATCATGGGTCATTTCCTGCGGGAGCGCACAGGAGCGGAGCTCCAGCAGTAAGGAGCTCAGGGGGCGGGCACATGCAACAAGCCCCACCCCCTGCTCCCAGCAGTCCTCAGTCGGGCCACAAGGAGCAAGAAGCAGCCAGGTAAGTTGCAGAGGGCCCCCCCCCCGGCCCGCCTTCAGGTGCAAGCTCTCCCTCCTCTGTGAGGGCAGATCTGCGTGTGCCCCCCCCCCCAATAGCTAACAATCCAAAACAGTCCAATGGAGCCTGAGCGGTGGGTGTTGCCTTCTGACACACTTCCGGTGATGTCAGGGGGTGTGGGATATGCAAATAAGTTATGCAAATAAGTTACGCTAATGAGCTCCTGCACCTCTTTTTCTACGAAATGAACCCTGCTTGTAATACCTGTAATGCTAGCACGATATGAATAAGAACTGACTGAGCTGCTCTCCAGGAAGTCCTTGTTTCGAGTCTGCCTTCTGTCATGAGCTCACTAGGTGGCCTGCTCTCAGACTTCCCCCTCTGTTACCTACAACACCACACGATGTGGGAGATCGTAATTATGATTAATTTACATATTTGGTCCATTTTTATCTCGCTCTTCCCATAAGGATTAATCATTCACCCTATTCTAATCCTCCCAACAACCCTGTGAGGAATTGGTAACAACTGACTGGCCTACAATTCCTCATAGTCTCATGGTTTTTATCAGTTATTTGGAATTTTTTAATCTTTGTTACTTCCTTGTCGTTATGAATCATTTTAAATGGTTTTCCGGCAATTTTAAATTGATATAAAATGTTTGTTTACACATTTTTTTTCATAGTTTTTTCTCCAATTGAGAAAAGCGGATAATGTATTTTAGGTAAACAGCGTTATTGGTAATGTTACAATGTGATAATGATTTACTTAGATTTATTAATTTGTTTACATTTATATTTATTTTATTTATTTATTTATTTAGACATTTTTACCCCGCCCTCCCCGCAAGCGGGCTCAGGGCGGCTTACAAGGGGAATAAGCCCGTACATAAAATCCAATAAAACCATAAAAATTATAATCAACACATTACATTTAACAATAAAGTGCTTCCATTGTCAAGATCTTAAGTTGTTGTAGATCTTAAGTTGTTGTATTGTCTTGAATATTTGTAAAAAAGCGCCTTACGTTTATTTTTCTTTCCCCCTCACACCTTTTCTTTTTTCCTGTGCCTTGTATAAAATCTAAAATAAAAAATATCTTTAAAAAAAGAACCTGTGAGGGAGGGAACAACTGACTGGCCTACAGTCTGCCAGTGAGTTTCATGACCAATGAATGCTTGAGCCTGGACCTCTTTCCGGGTTACATAGTGTTTCCCGTCTCCAGGTGGGGGCTGTAGTTCTCCAGATGACAGAGATCAGTACTCCTGGACAAAACAGCAGCTTTGGAGGGCAGACTTTGTGGCACCACATCCCCCTGAGTTCCTTCTCCTCCACAGACTCTGCCCTCCCCAGGCTACATCCCCAAATTGCCACGCATTTCCCAGCTTGGAGTTGGCAACCCAACCCAGGTTGTGTCCAGCACTAACCACTCTGTCACACCAGCTTTCTCAGGATTAGAATCTCCCAAGAGTTTTGAAAAAGGGCTTAAAGCTGCCTGCGAGAATATGGTAGCTGTAGGAGTGCTCTCTCTGTATATGTGTGTGCCTAGCTCGCCACCTAGTGGTGCATAACGCTAAAAGAGCTAGAACTTCAGAATGCAAGACAGTCTGAGGATCTCCTGGCTACACCATGCCATACAATAATAGTCATTCCTGCATGTGTGTTTGGATCAGCAAAATAGTACAGAGGCAAATGGTTAACTCCTCTCTTCTTATACCACAGCCCCAGTCCAGACCAACCAGCCCCCCAAAAACTGCTTTTAGCACTGAATACAACGATCACCTCTGGAATTATTCCTCAGTACCCAATCTTTTGACTGAGGGTCCCTCCCAGGATTGAATTACTGGGTGCAAAGCATGTCCTGGAGTCCCTGTCCCTCTCAGCCACATCAGTTGCCAACCCCAGGTTCTGTTATACCTATGAATCTACTTTGTCCTTCTCCGTACAGCCTCATATCGTCTACTCTGATTGGCAGCAGCCCTTCAGTGTGAGAGGCTGGAGGCGGGATCTGGGACCTCTGTTGTGCAAAACATGTAGGGAGCTAAGATCTCATGTGTCACGCAGTTTCCTCCACTTGTTTGGATGAACTTCGTAGTATCATTCTTTCCCTCACCCCTTTAGGAGAAGCTATGTTTCTTACAGCGGCAAGTACCAGCAGAAGACCTCAGCCTGCAAGTGAAACCACTCCTGGAAGATGAGTCCCATTACCTCTCTGCATTCAAGACCCCAGACGCACTTGAAAAACACCCTGCCAGATGTACCAGATGTGCCAGGTATTCACTTTAGACAGGAATACAAGGGTGTAGTTGGGTCAAATCTAAGGAGCATGGGCCAAAGTGTGAAGAAAGGTTGCTTCTATTTACTCTGGAGCTGATCCACTGCATTTGATGTCTGCCCTGCTGTCCTCCTGTCCTCATTCACATCTGATTTGTAGTGAGTTTTTTAAAAGTTTCAAATGCAATGGAATTGCCAGCCTGCACATACTAGATGGGCAAAACATTACTGAGGTTTTCTAAGTGTTTCAGTCTCTTTAAATTGGGCTGCTTGCTTCCCATATTTGTTCAATTATGTATTTCCTTTTTTTTTTGCTGTGATGTTCCTGTGTATGTGTACACATGTGTATGCTTATTACTGCTGTCCTCTTTGCAGGCAAGGCAAGCACTTATGATTTTTTTCAAAAGTAATTGTAGTTTCACAATTGTGCAATTATGGTAATTTTAAAAAACAAAACAAAGGAGCAATTGCTTCATGTTCAAAGACAAACAAAAGTAAGTGAGGTCCTCTTCACCAGGAAACAAAGGTTGATAAATGTTAGGTTCAGGAATGCTATGAGCAAACAGGAAATTACTACTTTAGCACATAAAGGGATGTGAAATGGAGCAAAATTTAAAGAGACAGTTGCAGGGAACAGCAGAGCTTTTGCTGAACAGGACTTAGGGCAAAACTAGATGTTACGTTGACCACAGCAACACCATTTTAGAGATTAATTTGGCCATTAAAAATGCTGTGAAGGTATGTCAGGACCAGGCAATCTTGCTTCCCTTCCCCACACACCTTTTCCAAAACAGCCATTCCCCGTGGCTGTTTTGGTACTTGCAAAGATGCAGGGAAGAAACAAGATTGCTTGGTCCTGCTGTTGGCCTGATCAGGATCGGGCTCTCGCAGCATTCTTAAATTGCCAAATGCATCTCTAAGATGGTGTCGTCTCATCCATGGGTCAGACCCATGGACATTGTAATGTCTAGTTTGGCTCTCAGCTTCTGAACAAATCTAGAAGATCCTGCTTATTAGGACTAGATTTTTATGGGGCATGTAGTGTCACATGGCACCACAGTTTCACTCTGTTTGCAAACTGATTGTGGGGGAAGAATGAACCATAGAAAGGTGTCCTAGTGTGGAAGCAAGCTAGCCAGGGCTTGTGGGGCACTGGTGGAACAGTTTGGTATCTCTGATTCCTTGCACCAATCCAAGCAAACTCTGTTGATATGGTTCTAGGGCTGGCAGCAGATTCTTTCCCCTGCCTCTGCAAAGTGCATGAAAACAGTTACTCATATGAGCATTATAACTTCAGAGCTTGGAGACTCATGCAAGATCACATCTCCTCTTGTGAACCTGCATCTTGTTCAAGTTGGGTAGCTGCGTTAGTCTTTCTATAGCAGTAGAAAAGAGCAAGAGTCCAGTGGCACCTTAAAGACTAACAAAATTTGTGGCAGGGAAAGA